GGCAGCCCCGGAGTCGATATCTAGCCACTCCTGTTCCAAACAAACATAACAGTAGCGGAGCTATAAATAGCATGAGTGAACCCAGATCAGTGTCCCCAGGGCGTTTGTTATCCTCTGGTACGGCGGTGTCCTGGGAATCGTCCACTTAGTCTGTCGCAGGAGTATGCGTCCGCTTATTGATCCAAACCTTTACCTAAGGGAATTAATTTGTTTTTATTTAAATCGAGTCAAAAAAAAAAAAATAAAAATTAAATAGTCCACAGAAAATCATCAATCCTAAGAGAATGTATTTGCACATCTACATAAACAACTTCGTCGATAACTAGGAGATTCGACATCTACGAATATTAAACCGTGGTTTAGTAGTCGAGTGCCTTCCACTAAGAGGCAAGAAGGTTACGTACCATGGTGCATATCATTAGGTGTATGACTACAACCTTAGGAGTTATTTAAGGACAGTTATGGATTTTCGGGTAATCTGGGAGATATAGTTATTCCAGGAGAGGTTCTGGTTAAAGGTTACTCCTAGGTTTTTGACAGTAGGGAAAAAATGGATGGGACGGTTATTGAGGTGAAGTAGAGAAAAGTAAGGAAGAAAGCTAATGAGAAGTCTGGACCCGATAAGAAAAGCCTTAGTTTTATGTGGTATTTATGTGATTTTTTTTTAATGACGGAATTGGCTAAAACGTTTACTTATTATTAATTGGTGTTTAATAGTCCTAAGGGTTTTTATATTTATTTATTATATTTTTGTAATCATTGAGAAAAGGTCTAAAAGAGACATTATGAATGGAACAATCCAAACTATTAAGCTACGAGTTCATAGCATACAAGTGGTCTATCAGGGTAGAAAAAACAAGATCACATATATGCAGAAAGAAAAAAGAAAAAATTATTTGCTATTAACATATCATCAAGGTATCCAAAAACATACAGAAGGAAACAAGAGAGGATGCTCATATAAAACAGCTGATTAGCAGAGTAACAGGAAATAAAATTCTCGTACTTGAATTGTAATAATACAAAAATGTATTAATGAAATTAAATATTTAAAAAAAGTACAAAAAAAAACTTGGAGGTACATACAATATATATATACCACAACACTTAGTGAATACATGGCTACTCCACCAATAATACTTCTAAACACTAACGGATCCAGGATTTAGTTTTTTGGGGGGGACTTCAGCCCATAAGATTTTTTTTTTTTGGTAAATATTACGATAATTACTTCGGAAACAAGAAAGAAACTAAGTAACTATATGAAATGTTGTTTAAGTAATTCTTTAATTCCTATTAAATGTAATTAGACCAACAGCAATACTTAGAGATTTTTATCATAAAACATGGTTATATTTTATCATTTTGGAGAAGGCTTCAGCCCGAATGCCTCCTCCCCCTGTGCTTCAAAAATAAGCGAACGCTCGAAAAAAGACATTATGAATGGAACAATCAAAACTATTAAGCCATGAGTCTCCTACGTACAACAGTTAATTTGGCTTAAAAAATATAGAAATTACATTTAGAATTCTATGAATTTGAATGGGTTTTTAGGAAATTGTTCAATATTTCGAAGCAATGGTGTTATTTGCGGTTACAACACATCCGCTCTGGTTAACAGCAACGTACGAGGAGACTAATCTGTTGTGCGGCGCAGCAGAGGGCAGCGCGACAAGGTGACATTCCTGGGACGACAGAGGCTAATTAGCCGAGGGGGCCACGCGATGGAGACGCCCCCCGCCAAGAGGAATAATAAAGTCAATTAAAGGCTTCATTAGAGGGCAGCACCTACCGGCTCCTTCTTCTCTTTGCCTTGTCTCCTATCCTGATTGTCTTTTCGCGTCGTCATCTTTTTGCCACCGGGTAATGTCGTCTCTTCCGCACACTCCCGTCGCTAATAACATCTTTCGATGAGGGGAGACGAAGCAAAGGAATGTCTGGTGACGAGAAACGGATCATCGTGAGTCAATGTACTACTAGACCAAAAATGTAAAACCGAAACATATTATTTGAGAAAATATAATAGACCAAGCTTAGATAAATTGCTGTATCATAGGTAAAAATGGAGTAAATATGATTCTTGAAGTTAAAACTTTTGGCGCGTTTTGTACTTTTTTGTGGAGATTTGAATTAGATTGATCCGTCAGATTTCCGAAGTGTTAACGCTCGGCTCGAGTCGACTAATTGAAATGTTTTTACATATGGATTAAAATATCCCAGAGACTAAAAATCGGGCCTGCATACTGTAAGTGAGAATATTGTTCAGCATTTTATCCCTTCTCTAATAGGCTATAATTCAAAATTGTATCTTAACGCGTCGTCGTGTTAGGGAGGCGAAAAGGAAAAATAATACCTAAAAATAAATGATAACGAGTTTATTTGAACATATGTATTAAAATAATTCAGATACTAAAATTCGATCCTCTATAGAGTAAGCGAGGGAAATGTTCAGCATTTCATCCTCTTTATAATAAGCTATTGGTTATAATTTATATTTCATATTATTAATCTCGTCTTGTTGGTGTTTTTATTTTTATCGTGTGGTCTAAAAGAAACAGTTCAATTTTTATTTTTTAATTTATAGGAAATTAGAAAATATTTCTTGTTATCGATGGTTCTATTACACCATTAATTGTAAACTTTTTGAAATATGGGCAAAAAAGTTTCCCTTTTCTCCATTAAACTATTTTTCACGACGTTCTGGAATATGTGATTATTTTTATCGCAATTGATGAATATTGTCTTCGAATTACTAAAACAAGGATGTAGCCCTAAAAGAATTCATAATAATATGGGTCATCTCACCTCAATTGTTTAGGTAATCAGCTAAATATTCGTATCTAGAGCTAATTAAACAATTTTTTTACGAGATTTTTTACTTCCATATTTCATGTAAATTCTTAATTAAATGAAAACTCTTAACTTTAAGATCTATTTAAAATTTTATTAATGTTAAATTTTGTATATTTAATATTCGTTATGGCAGTGCATCGGTAAAGTTCGGGGAAACTCGGTTACTCAGCGGGAGCCGTGTGTAATGGTGCATGATGTCCCTCATAACAGGATTTCGGTCGGTTTTAATTCCGTTACTACCTCGTTGAAGTAATAATTTAATGGTTTTCATATCTCGTTGCACAAAATCGATATCTGATACACATTGGCATTGAGCCTAACAAATTCATGGTTTATTTATTTCATTTAAACATGCCCTCCTATTTACCTTAACAATGCCGAAATTCCGCAAATAGATATAATACAATATCTTGGGAATCCGACAGAAGAATGACATAGGAACCACATATACTCATTTCTATAAAGACACTCAAAATTAAACCTAAAACAAAAATTAAATACGTTTGGCTACTTAAGCAACATGGACCAACGCTTCACAAATTTATGGGACAGCCAAAACCTCCAGGACTATAACTATAGCTCCATAGTACGTAACAAACATTACTTTACATAAAGACCTTCAAATGCCAACAGTTAACGGACCACTACAAAATATTTCACAAGAACATACTAATACACTTATACAAAGAATGGCTACAATTTACAATTAACTAAAACATACTTAGGAGGCTCAAAAGGAGCTGGATGAAGGATTTCCTGGCTTATAAATAGCTTAAAATCAAAACCGGAAGAGATGCCGCTGGGTACTCCTCTCCCTCACGCCGATCATATAAGTATCCATATACTATTAGTACTGTTACCGACAGCATACTCACTAATTGTCACTGATTATGATAATGTGAGTGAAGATATAAAGTTAAAAAAAAAATTGTGAAGTGGGCAGGGATGGGCTTATATTATTTATGGTATGGTTTTAACAAAGGCAATCTTTATCTGCATTTGGAATAAATTTTCTCTATTTTACTATTAAGCAATTGTTAATTACTTATGATGTAGAGGTGGTTGACCGTGATATAATATGAGCAGGAGTTGATCGGGAGCTGAGGTCAAATAAATACTAAATTATAGAAATAGTATTATTTAATTATTATGCCGACGTTTCGACCCACCTTGCAGGTCTTCATCAGGCAGAGGGATATGGCCACACTGCCAGTGTCATAACCTTGTTTACATTTATACTTACATTATAAATTTCTCTTCTTAAATTTTTTATATATTTAATAAATCTATCCTAACGATATTACAACTAATGTTATCCTATTAATCTTTCAATTTCTTTATTTGTTAACCTTTAGTCTGTTTACCTACAGTTATCAAATGTAGCATCCACCAGCTTGTTATCCACAGATATCTTATTATTATATTATCTTATTCTTATTTCACTTTTCCTATATCAATGCTTATTCAATTTTTAATGTCTTTATTGGTTAATATTCATTTTCTTTATCTGTTAACGTACAGTTATCAAACGTAATCTTTAATAGTTTGTTATACACTCATGCGAACCCTATGCCTTGCGTTATCTCGAAAATAGTAGGTTTTTGGGCTTAAAAACGCATGATCCGATAGTTCAGGAGGAACTATCCGGGTCTTGCAGTACGCATCAAAATCTTCAAGCTCCAATTTGTTCCGTATCGAACTACAGACCTATCACCGTTCCAATATTGAAGCCTAGCAAAATGTTTGTATCGACTTTATTTATTTTAGAAAGAAAAACAAAAGTGGAGAATACGATTCGCTAACCCCCGTGAAATTCTGAATCCAACGGTACCCCATGCATGGTATTTGAGCCTTACTGTAATAATATATGTGGGGATGGAGATACTATTTGTATGATTTAGTATTTATTTGACCGCACCCTTCTCACGTTAATTATTTATATTAAATGTTTTTTAATTATCATATTCAACAAAAAAACATGTATTACTTAAAAAAAAAATTTTTTTTGAACCTGGTAATATTCAATCATTATGGAAGAACCTATTAAGGAGGAAATCAAAGCAGGAATGTAAATATAAAAAAATCGTATTTGCTCGAATTAAAAAAAAAAAAAAAAAAGCACCTGGTAATTGTCAGCTCATCTTAAGATGCCAGGACGGGTCTTGGTAACAGTAAGTTGGAGGCGGAACCAGCTAGCGGTGGAAGAAGTGTATACTGCCACTTTGAAGAGGAGTTTTACAACCTGTTTGTAAGCTGTTCGGGCAAAGTATCCACATAAATGTCTCTCTGCCGTTTAATGCTTCCCCTTTGTGTTCCCCGTCTCCGCGGATGAAACTTGTGCCCCTCCGACCCTTCCCCTCTGGCAGGCAGTAAAACCGGGATAAAAGGTTGGTCGTCCTGGGGCAGTAAAAGAAAAAATTAAACCACATCAAAAAAGGTTCTGGACCACTGCGTCAACTGGCCCAATACAGATCACGTCTTCTTCCTCTCCTTGATGTATTGTTATATATCCAATCCTTTGACTGAAGGGACCTTTTTAATGTCGGTTTAACAGTTCGTATATCGTGTCAAGTTGGTATTTTTTTTTTTTTTTTTTGTCTCTTATGTGAATGACGCCGCACAAGTCCAAAAGAGGATATGATGGCACAACTTGGGCCATTAAAATATTTGAGGGAGCATATTGTGGCAGATTTTTGAATTTTCGAAAAGGGTACAACCCCCATATCAGACTGGAACGACTAAAAACCGCCCGACGTTTTCGACTACTGCTTTCAATCAATTACAAACGACTCATAAACATGACAATAAGAAGACCTATTTGGACTTACGGAATTGAGCTTTAGGGCTCCACTAAACCATCGAGTTCTTCTCGTATCCAATCCTTACAATCCAAAATCCTTTGTAAAATCCTCAACGTTTCTTACTTTGTTAGAAATAAAATCATCCATAAAGACCGTAATGTTCCATACGTTTCCGATTTCATACGTTCCAATCCAGATTCCTATCATTCCATAACAAACTGCAGAACCATTATTGTTTCAAACCTTGCTTCCTCCTCGTCCCTGATATCCCTTCGAGGCGTCTGAAAAGATGGCGTCGGGACCTTAATACAGAACTTAAATTTGAGTTCTACCAATGGGTAGTTTCTCTTCATGTTGTACATGTCATGTTACCAATGTCACATTTACTTGTTGTATTTTTCATGTAATACAGTTGTAAATTTCATTAAAAAAAAAAAAAAAAAAAAGGTTACATTTTGGCGTTCTTATGAATTCTGTTGAATATGAAGTGGCAAGGGAAAAATATGGAACTATAAGATATTTCAGTAAACTACAATGGATGACAGTGGCTGAAACAGTTGCTGTCATGCCTGTAACTGTCATCATTTTCAATATTTTAATAAATGATAATGATATAGAATGAAATAATATTAATACACACGTAAACATCTGATTTAAGAAATTAAGATGAGTAAATAAATCTAAATTTCTCACTCCGTAAATTCAAGTTGAAGTTAAATGTAATGATTGATCAGAAAGTACGTTTGTTACGGCGGAGATATAGTCGATTTTGATATAGATTCAACATTATCACGGAGGAAGATTTATCTCAGCTCGTAAGTAAGACTAACTAACGGTTCTACGAAGCATTCGTTTGCACTTTGCAAGACCAAGACCAAGACCGCCTAACTGTTGCAAGACCAAGACAAGGACTGGTAAAAAAATCAATTTTTTAAATAAAATTAAGGCAAAATAGTTACTAGTACTTGACAATCTTAGTTACTATATGTTAATAATTGGTATAACCAATATACTATGGCATTTACCTCCTCTAATTTTTCATTCGGGCTTAGTTAGGTTTCTTCTATCTAAAAAAAATACAGTAATATCTCTATAGTAATAAGCTAGTTAGCACCTGCAAGACCATGACCAAGACTGAGTTTGCAAGACCAAGACTCGTCTCGGTCTCGCATTTGGAGAACACTAGGGATGATCACTTTAACCTCCACTAACGAAAGCCGAACAACCAGTGGTATATGTATCAAGTACTTCTATCAAAAATCTATATTTCCGAGAGGTAAAGGAAGAAGAAAATAAAAATAAAATAAATGACAAGTTAAATACATTTAATCTTTTATTTTTTTTGTTACGAATTATATCGTTTAAAAATATATACATATAAATTTGTTCTTCCTGCAAGTGTTTCGATTAGATTCCATTTTTAGTTTTGGCAATTATCACTCTCCACTAGCTTCCAGCGACGCGGCAGGGAGAGAAGCACTGGGATCTTCTTGAGTCCTGCTTTGGCATTTGGGGGACAAAGCTTGATTTAGAGTCCTGTGGGCCAATGTAAATATTCTACATAGATGTGAATGTGCTTTATTTATTTCATTACCATTCGGATTTAATCTGTTATTTTATTTATTTTGTATATTATTTTATCTTTTTTTTTTTCTACTTTGGTTTTTTATATTTATTTTCCTTTCTTACGTACATATTGTGTGAACGAACAGTATAGCTCTAGTACCAATGCCCTTCAGTGTGGCAGACTGTATTAATACTCAACAAAATCATTACTAAATTTTTGGTAATTATCATCTTTCGCAAGAAATTTCAACTCCGTGTCTGTAATGCAGTTAAAGAATGAAATTATTTTATCCAGCACAATATTTACTTTAAGAATGTTTAGTTATCGGTAACTTTTTTTCCCCCAAAACACTAAACTTTTAGGAAATATGACGGTCATGTAGATTTTTCCATTTTAAAGGTAAGCAATGATATAATTTTATTACGGAAAAATTAATTTCAAGTTACACTTCATCAAGTCAAGGCAAGTTCCTTATATTGTTTTTCTAGAATCATAAATTATTTTTAACCTCAACTGTTTTATTTATGCAACAGACAGATAAGCATAAGTTTTTTTTTTATTTTGATCAGAATCACAGTCATGTTGAGTCAAACGTATAATTCTGTAGTAGAAACAACGTGTCTATTTTTCTTGCCGATAAATGGAAATAGAAAAGTCACCTGGAGCTATTTCTGTAGGGACCTATATACATCTATTTCTGTCCAAGCCTTATAGAGAGAGACGGAATAGTTGCAGATGCTTAGGTGTGGGCGATTCCGAGATGCTCGTAAATAGCGATATGAAATACTCGTATAATGTGAAAACCTGTTGAATATAATTATTATTGTATGTAAATTATTATGTAATCAGTTGGAGGGACATAAAAACGTGATATTTATTTTCGAATTAAGCTGTTTTATCTTAGTACCTACATTACATGGTAATTCTGAGATGAATAAATCAAGGAGTGGTTTAATTATAATTAATAATAAAAATGTTAATTTTAAAATCAATTTTTATTGATTTTATTTATGATACATTTACATATATATATATATATATATATATATATATATATATATATATATATATATATATATATATATATATATACATATACAGAGTAACTCAGATCTTAATGGCCAAATTATAGGAGGTGATTCTAGACAAAATTTCCAACAAAAAAGTTCATTTGGTCAATGGACCGATTAAAAACGGAAAAGGAGTTATGGCCAATTTTGTGTTTTTCTTAATGTGGTAGCATTTTTATTGAATAAGAAGGAATTGCCCAAAAACTGTTTAAGATAAAAAAAACTTCTAAGTACACCATCGTAAAGTAGAAATTTTTTTTTTAGAAAATTGGGATTACATTTGATAAGGAGAATGATAAAAGGGACTTTCAGGAGGTCTACAGAGATATGATGCGGAAATTCTATATATATATATATATATATATATATATATATATATATATATATATATATATATATATATATATATATAATGGTTCGATTTTTCCGCAGAAAAGTAGGAAATTAAAACTTTGTGTTTATCTAAGATTAGAGTGCTACCATTGGGTAGTTACTCAGCAAGTGTATTCATGTCATTATATCAATTATGTCCAAATTTACTTGATGTATTTATGTAATACAGTTGTAAGTGTCATAAAGAAATAAAAAAATAAAAAAAAGTGTTTATCTAAGAGTCACATTTTTTGCTGAATAGAAAGCGATAACTAAAAAAATGTATTTAATTTAATTAATTGATTTTCAATAAATTAGGAATAATATTTTTCAAATTAAAGTGGAGTTTATTAATGTTGCTCAAATGCGAGACCAAGACTAATCTTAGTCTTGCGCACTCAGTCTTGATCTTGGTCTTGGTCTTGGGCAACAGTCTCGTATTATTCTCGCAGTTTCATATTAGCGTATTACTATAGTGATATTATTGTAATAGTTCAGGTTAGGGAAGCCAAACTAAGTACAGAAAAATTGAAAGAGTTAAATGCAAAAGTATTTTCTTTATACAAATTCTTTACACATAGTAACTAAAATTGTCAAGTATTGGTAACTATTTTGACTTAATTTTTATTCACGAAACGATTTTTTTTTAAACTATTCTTAGTCTTGGTCTTGCAACAGTTAAGCGGTCTTGGTCGTGGTCTTGCAAAGACCAAGACCGATTTTAGGCTACACTAAGAATTATAAAAATTATTTAAAAAGGACTGATGAGCGGCTGAACTTTCCGTTGTTGAAAAATATGATGTGATTTTATATCCCGTTAACTACAAGTACCAGTATTTTCAACACAAATAACTAAAATGAATTATTAAAAAGCTTTTATTTCTTCGTTTTTCATTACGTGGGACGTATAATAATAAACTTTTATGTACAAATAATTTTTTTAGTCGTAAAAAATGTTTAAAATAATGGATTTTGGAATATTTTTTATGTTAAGTGATTATGAAACTGTGTTTTTTTACTAAAATCTCTACTACAAGAATCGATCCTATATTACAGGAATCCTAATATTTACGTATTATTTATTGCATGATTCATTGTTTTAAACTTAAATACTATTAAATGTCATAATAATGTAAATGTTTTAATTGATTTATAGGACTGATTTCTTTTTTGTTTAACATAAATTTATTAATATGGATCAAATTGGCATCGATAAATAGAACAAAGCTTTAATCTATCTAGAATTGCATAAGTCTATGATAGTCTGTTGGGAGATACCTGTGGTCAATGGCATTTATTTTTTTTATTGTGAAATTAAACTCGTTTTCTCATTTATTTTTTATATCGTACTTATATAAACACACGTGAAATATACCCGAATTTTTCGGGGGAAAAAAAAGATTCTCAGAAAACGAAATGCAATTTCGAGATTGTTTGTTATTTGAATAAGTATTATTAAGAGATTCAACCTTGAACGGAAAATACTTTAATATTGACTGTGCTCAATAATGAGGTTCGAAATAACATACTTTAATATTCAATACAGTTCTACACTGTAAACTAGGCCATTTTTTTTTTAAATATCTATATTAGGTACATGACGAAGTAATTATGTACATATATCACTTTGTGAAATGTATGGTCTTAAACTACATAATTTAATATTATGTTTTGAAGAAAAGTCATATAATGAAATAATTATATGCATTGCATATTTTTAGTTTTACTTACCCATGTATGAAATATATAGTAAAAGATAGTTTTGGTATCATACAAAAATTCTAATCCCAGTTTTAAAAAAATACTACAAGTTTTGAGATTAAAAAAATTTTGTTCTATATGAAAAACATACCTAAAAAACTTAAACCTGTACGAAATTTAAATTATGTATTAAAGTAAGTATATACAGGAGATAATACACCTAATTTTTTGTTGATATCGACTAATCGAAAATGGTAATTTCTACAATTTTTCACATTTTTGCATTTTTTTCTTCTTTTAAATAACGGCTCATCATATCGATAAAGTAACTGATCTTAGTTATTGTGTCTATCTAAACAGTATTTATGTTATTATAAATTTAGGAATAATATAATAACATCTGTAATATTTGTTTACAGAAATGTAAACGCTTTTAAAGTATTAGTTTAAAATTTAAATTCACAAATTATATTTATAAAGGAAATCCAGTTGTTAAAAATTTTAACTAAAAATAAAATGCAACCATCTTTCATGAATTCAGTTATGTTTAAAGAGAATTTGCTTAATGGCAGAAAGCCATTATCAGAAACAAAAAAAAATCAATAAAATTATTAAATATTGAATACCACAATTACATTTGAACGAGAAAAAAAAATACAAATGTTCATAGCCATAACACATCTATAGCTTTTAAAATATTTTATTATTATAACTATATTATATTATAATTTTGTATCCTATCTATAATAATTTATAACGTATTTATTAATCTATTTTAAAATACATTAACTTTTAAAATATTACTTTCAAGATTAAAAAATAATGATTTATTTTATTAAATTCAATTTGAGGGCAATGATAACATTAAGGAATTTTTCGCTCATCAATCCAAAATAACAACAATTTTCTTTAATTGTCAATATTAGGTAACAAAAAAAAAATGTTAGGCTCATGCCGTTAGAATAATAAAATAAAAAAAATAAAAAAATTGAATGACGATTTATACAGCTGATATAATATATGCTAAATAAGAATAATGAGATGTTTACCTAGACTTATTTGTTAGTTTAATAGCTTTGAGAGTAACGTCAAATATATTAGTTATAAATCACATGACTAACATTATTGATTACTATAAAAGACTGCGGCGCTTAGACAGGTGTTGAATTAATACGACGCTGTGTTTCTGGAGTCGCCTATAAGATTTTCAATTTCCTTTGGGGTTAATGCTGAACAACACGCACTGTTTAATATCCAATCTTACAATAACTGTTATACATTTATATCAGAGATAATTTCTAGTAAAAATACACTTTATATAAGGTAAAATAAATTAATTTATAATACCAGAAATTATAATAATAATCGTTAGTAATATAGCATCAAAAATTTGATTAATTACTTCACCTAATGTATGAAATATACTTCTGAAAATACGTATATGTTTCTGAAAGTCATATTTTATATAATCTTTTTTATAATGTGCTAAGAAGTGATTCCAACCGGTATTATTCAGTTCATTCATAAACTCGTACAATGTCTGTTATTCCATCAAATATCACAGAATTTTGTTAATAGTATACTGTCCTGAATTAGGGAGCCCTTTTATTGAAAACATTGAACTTTTAGATAAATAAAAAGAAAATTAAATAGAGGTGAAATAATTTTTAAAAAAATCGATTAATTCATGTATTCTCCCACTCTCTCTCTCTCTCTCTCTCTCTCTCTCTCTCTATATATATATATATATATATATATATATATATATATATATATATATATATATATATATTTTAAGACCACGCGAATATCATTACTTTTCCTTTCTCATATTCGCTTTTCACTTCTCCCAGTATCTTCTTATAATTTCTGCGTGCCTTTTCTTCCTCTCTTTCTACCACGCAATAAACTTCCATTTTTCTTAGTTTTCCACAAGCACCTTGATTTCTTTTATTTTTTTTTTTATCTAGGCAGTTATTTTCAAATTTTCTGTTTTCACTCTCATTTGTTATACATATCCTCTTATACTCTTGTATTCTGTCAAAGACCTCTGTTTTGTTTTCCTTGGTCCATTCGTATGATGGGTTCGTAGAATCTTAGTCTTCTGGTTTTATTTCGGTTTCTAGGTGATTTCCTGGTTGGGTCTTAACCTGTAGCCTTCTTGTGTTTTCTTAGACCCATAGATTCTTCTCAGAATCTCTCTCTTTCTCTCTCTCTCTCTCTCTCTCTCTCTCTCTATATATATATATATATATATATATATATATATATATATATATATATATATACTGAAATTCAGAAATATTTCTGAAAATTTAAATATAAGGGTGAACAATGCCGTGTTAAAGCCAGTTTCGTTGTACGGCTGTGGTACCTGGCTCTCACATGCACACTAGAAACCAGAATTGACAGATTTGAAAGAAAATTAAGAAAATAAAAGGACCTATCTGGGATTAAAACATTAACATATGGAGAAACTGTTAAAAGAGACTGGTCAGTCAATATCTCTTGATATCAAGGCAAGGAGGTTAAAATAGGAGGGCATGTAGCTCTAAGCAATCCATCAGGACGACTTTACACAATTAATGCCAGAGTAGTAGGCAAGAGATCACATTGGAGGCCATAAACCAGATGAGTAGACAGCATAAAGAAAGATACGGTTGAGCTTCTTGTTGCGAATTGGAAAGCAGCAGCCCAAGATACGCAGAAGTGGAGAAGGCCAAAGATCTACAAGGTCTGTAGAGCCGACTGAATAAAAAAAAAAAAAATATATATATATATATATGTATGTATTCATTGATGGCATGGGGTTTAAGCTGATCCTAATGTGTAGGGCACGTGTGTGTATAGGTGGTGGGGAGGGATTTCTGCTGCTACTTGGACATACCGCTGAGACGATTTTGGTACCGAAATAGTTGACCCCGTGTCATCAGTTAGGACCTCGTGTTTAGTTCAGGCATACCGCTCCACGGCGGGTGGTTAAATTTAAGGCAATAAATATTTACTCCTCGCCAGGGACTTGTGTATAATCAAAGGTGTAGACTCAGAGCAGATATAGGAGGCCGTGCCAAAAATGTTCCCACTCTTTTAGAGCCATCCTGCCTCTCAACCGACGGAGATTTCTTATTCTCTACATTGACCGAAAAGGTGACAAACCATTACAAAAACTCTAATCAATTTTATTACAATCAAACTATCATGAATCATCATGTATAGTCCGCAGTAGATCCTTTTTATCAAATTATTCGTGAATAGCTTCATCTTATCGTAACCTACAACCTATTATCAATTTTTATTTATTTATTGAGTAATACAACAATCTGTCACATGAACAATAATTATAGTGAGATGGGATAGCATTCACATTATATGTACAAAAATATAAAATAAACAGAAGCAAAATAACAATAAATAATAATCAAAAAGTACATACAATAAATTAAAAAAAATAACCTAAAAATAAGAAAATTAAAACTAAGCAAAAAACATATGCATCCCTATATACACTATTTACAATCAGGCGAAGGAACTCCAGGAGAACCCTGCGCTACTCTCTCAACAGCCTCACTGGTGCAACATATTATTCAAGAAAAAATTCATAAATGGGGCAGTTTTTAATTAAATTAAAACACACGAATACCCTTTTGAATTCTAATTGAATCTTAGAATAATTTCATCGCCAAACTGGAAAAATACAAAAATATTGGGCCGTTTAGCAAGTATAACCTCGTTATTATGACAAGTTGGAGGTCTCGCCATACGGCCAGTATTTTTTTGTATAGATTTTTTAATCAAATTATCTTACGATTCAAATGAAAAGGAAATTGGTGTACATGAGTTTTTAGTACCTCATAATGGTTACCTATATACAGATTGAAAATACGTGATTTCCTAGAATTTTCGTAAATTAAAATTTGAATGTTACAACGAAATGAAGCCCATTCACCAAATTTTAGACTGATGTTAATAATTTGATAAAAAGGGGTCTGTATCGCAGCTTAATAAAGAACTATTTTGTAGTGAAACATATAGGAATTATTTTTTTTTTTTAAATTAATTAAGAGTAACCGCAACAGTGATGGATATAGCTAAGGAAAATATTTTTTGGCTTATGCCGCCGTAATTATTAATTTTTCTGTTGGATATTTAAAATCTCTGGGATCTCCTTTTTCTATTTAGCACTTTAAAAAGAAAAAAATATTCAGTTATGCAGGCATAATCTCTATTTAAAAAAACACCTTCATACATCAGTGATGGACATCCCCAACTTCAATTGTTCTAGTAATGGGTAGGGGGTCGGTACAAGTAATAGACATACCTCAGAAAAATTCTAAAATATTGTAATTTATTCGTTGTTTTATTCTGAGAAATGGGGTAGCACAATGAGTAAGGCACGATTCTAAAATTCCCGAGTCATCTTAATTTAATTTAATTAAGAGGATCATCTAAATTAATTTAGATAATTTATGAACCTATTAATTATTATAATTAAACCATATAATTAATTAAGGAGAATTTGATTAAAATCACATTCTTACGCAATATTTGACCTAGTAACAGTACTTACTCACTAAGTACTGAATCCAAGACCCTTCAAGGGTTGCAATGCTTCATTACATTTTTTTCATCAATCTTATTAATATAACTTGTAAATAAAATAAATATACAATTACAAAATCTACATTCTTTAATAAAATATATATATTAATACAGTATAAATATACAATTATTGTACGACAAAAAAGTTCAATTGTGACTGAGTGGTGTAATATATATATATTTAGTTAGTCTTTATTAAGGCTGTTGATGTGAGATATGCAATGGAGCTGTTTTATTTTTATTTCACACATGATGCATGAATCGAAGAAATGTTGAATAGTTAAGTTTTCCCATGGGGATTAAGAAGTTAAAATGTGTTATCTTATCGTATTTTATAAAAGAATTAATCGTATAAATTATTTGTATGACTTTTCAATATATTAATATATATATATATATATATTTTTTTAAAGAAATATCTGTCATTTATGTAAAGCTGACCTCTTTTCCTTATTTTACAAATATTTAATGAATAAAAAAATAACTAAAAAAAAATCTATCTCAGTGTAATATCAGTGTGTATATATATCTCAAATGTTTCAAATGTTTTCCCTTAAATTATAGAATTATTAGCATTTTAGAGTTAAAATATTTTTTTTTGCAAATTTAATAACACAAAGCCCTTGTGATTTACGAACCAAGATTAATTTTAAAAGGAAATAATAAATTTCGTGGTTTGCTCTGGTTAGAATTAATGAAAAAGCTTATGTATGTTAACTAATATATAGCACAGCACATAAGGTTTATAGATACACATATAGACATATATTGTAGATTTCATAGGGTTTTCTTGATCTATTTATTTTGACTCTCTTCGGTTTGTTTATTAGTGGGGGGAGGTTTGTAGCCTTGGTCTGGTTGAAGAGTGGTCTGTTTGTTTTTCTGCTCTTGAAAGTAACTTAAAAGGTACCTATAAAATTGAATAAAAAAGTATCGATTGTTTCAGGACCATTGTAAATATTCCTTCAGAATTATTCTAAATATGTTAATAAATTTTAGCATACTTGACTAAATTGATTTAAACAATATTTAGGTAATTAGGAAATGAATTTTATGAAATGACCAATTTAAATAAAATTTATTATTATTTTTTTTTTTTGTCTTTAATTCTTCATCCGCACCTGTCATGGTAGTGACAATTAGCAGATCTATTTAATTTAAACAGGATTAAATTTTTTTTTATATTTTTTACAAATGAATCATCAATTCATAAAATATTTTGTATAATATACTGATATATCATTTTTTGGGCTCTAAAACACGTTTATTATTATTATCACCCTCATACCAGACTGAAACGACTAGAAACCGCCCGACGTTTTCTACTACTGCAGCACTTACTAGACAAACGCTCTAAGCTTTCAATCAATTACAAATGACTCATATATATATGACAAAAATAAGACCTATTTGGACTTACGGAATTGAGCTTTAGGGGTCCACTAAATCATCGAATTCCTCTCGTATCCAATCCTTACAATCCAAAATCCTTCGTAAAATCCTCAACGCTCCTTACTTTGTCACAAATAAAATCATCCATAAAGACCTTAATGTTCCATATGTTTCCGATTTGGCCCGATCCAGACACCCATCCTTCCATAACAAACTGCAGAACCATCCGAATCCTCTCGTTTCAAACCTTGCTTCCTCCTCTATCCCAGATAACCCTCCGAGGCGTCTGAAAAGATGATGGCCTCGGGCCCTTCTAATATAGAACTTTAATTTGAGTTCTACCAATGGGTAGTTTCTCTTCATGTTGTACATGTCATATTACCAATGTCACATTTACTTGTTGTATTTTCTTTGTAATATAGTTGTAAATTTCATTAAAATAAAAAAAAAATATTATTATTATTTTGTTTGTTCATTTTATCATTTTGAAGTGAAAACTTCTTTAGGTACATTTGTCCTTTTTTTTGCGTAGAGTGAATTAGATTGAGCCGTCAAATATCCGATGTGTAACGCGTGAGTAATTGAAGTGATTTCTGATATATATATTAAAATATCTCAAAAATTAAAAATCGGACCTGAATATTGTTTGCGAGTAAAATGTTCAGAATTTCATCCTGTTTGTAATGAGATATTATTCAAAATTGTATCTTAATGCGACGTGTTAGAGAGGCGAAAAGGGGATAAATAGTGTCGAATTATTTTAAGTTTTATTTAAGATATGAATTAAAATATAGTTCAGAAAATAACAATCGGAGCTCCATACTGTAAGAAAGGGAAATGTTCAGCATTTCGTCGCTTATTTAATGAGCTGTTATTTATAATGCATATTTCATATTATTAATCTCCCCTTGTTTATGTTTTTATTTCTATCGTGTGGTCTAAAGCACACACATTATTTTTTATTTTATTTTTTAATAACACCAGTTTTATAAAATATCTTGTTGAAAGGTTATGGGAAAACCGCCCAATTATTTTTATATTTATTTATATGTGTTGAGTTTGAATTTTTTTTTAATATAATAATTTATATAAATTATTTTAATTTAATTTTTATTTTTTTTGTTTTAGTGGGCCTCCGTGGCATCTTGGTTCATGAGACCGGAGGGTAGAGCTATACCCCATCAAGATTCTGTTCTTCCACCGACAGTTTGCACGGTAAGAGAACATTTTCAATATATATATGCTAGGTAATTCTTTCCATTTTGATTGGGACATAATTATTATGAAAAAGGTATAGCCTTCATAACATAAGTACGTTTCTATAACTTTTACAGCTAAAAAAGAATAATATTAAAAACTGAAAACATTTTTGATTTCTTTTCACAACGTTAAAATAAAACCGAAATGTTTTCACAGTCATAAGCGATTTTTCTTATTCGATTTAGCATATTTATTTTAAATTTAAATTTCTTTTTTACTTAAAATTATTGGGGGCGGGCGAAACGATGTTCTCGTCCCCTCAAAATTTTTACTGTGGAAGTCGATCGCTCCCTGTAAGTATTCGCCTATTCTAGGTATTTTGGGAGTTCCATTCACATGGCGAAACCCAATAATAAAAATTATTTTGTATCGACGTTTCGGCCAAAGTTTTTGGACTTCATCAGAACCGAAGAAAGACAAGATTACAACCAAACAAAAATTGTTTCGAAACTATAAGATAAAAAAATATTTCTAACATACTTTTAAGGTTGTGTTGTTGAAGATGTCTTAATTTTTATTCTCTTCTCGGAATTTATTTATTAACAGTTTATATATATATATATATATATATATATATATATATTTCGTGTCTTTTTATAGTAGCCTCGTAATACTTTTTATTTGGATATAGTATTGTTTTCCCTCAGCCCTTATGTAGGTACAAATAATTTTTTTTTTTTTTTTTTTAATATCTACTATAATATCTACAATCAATTATAGTCCATTGTACAGACCCCTTTTTATCAAATTAATAACACATCTGAAACTTCGTGAATAGCGTTATCTCTTCTTAACCTACAAACGAAGTGGAGTACGGGATAAAATATAACTATGTGTGTATTATTACATTTAATAAGACTTCAAGAATCACTTAAACAATATCTCATATCGGTAGTTAGATTCTTTCTTTTTTTTTTCAAATTATTTATCGTTATATATATATATATGAAAAAAAGCTGGGTCGTTTGGCGTGACCTACATCCCCAAATCGTCAAAATAACCAGGTTATATTGGTCAAATGGCCCAATATTTTTATAGGCACCTTTTTTTTCAGATTTTGTGATAATATCATCTTACGATTCAACTGGAAAGCGGATGGTCTTCTTGAGTTTTTAGTACTTAATTAAATAGACAATGTTTGCCGATCTCCAGATTGAAAAAACACCAATTCCGAGAATTAAATATAATATTTGTAGGTTACGATGAGATGAAGTTATTCACGAATTGTTAGGTGGATGTTAGTAATTTGATAAAAAGAGGTCTGTACTACGGACTATTATTTTTTAACATTACTCAATCAGAATAAATTGTTTTGTTTTTTTATAATAATAACGCTTTATAAAATAGTATAATGTATGTAGTGTAAATTGTATAGTAGACGGTTTATTTTCTGTTGTTTTTTTTGTGAAATTTATATATATATATATATATATATATATGAATAAAGTGTGTTTATACCTTTCACCGCTGTAATAACCGTTCGCCACTTGAATTCACTATCGCCCTATCACGATTCGAATCTTTCGAGAGAGCAAAATAGATTGCGTAATGTGCCATCAGAAGGGGCCTGGAATTGAATAACGCGTGCATCTTCATCTACAACGCCTCGAAAGGAGGATCGTTTTAAAATAGTTATGTTAGCTTATACCGCGGGGCATTATGTCAATCATTGAGGATTTTTTCAATCATACGTCGAAATCAAAATATGGCAAAGTGGTTACCAAAGTTTTTTTTTTTTATATGGGTCACTAAAACGCAACTGCCTTTTCGATCCATTGACTTGCCAATGTCGGGTATTCGATATCTTTTTTTTTTTTTTATTCTCTCATGTTAAAGTTAGGATTGGCAGGGGGTGAACATTCCCCCCCAAAATAAATGGAGCAAAAATCTACCTCCCTCCTTTCTCTAAAGAAATTTTATCACTCACCTTTTCTTAAAAATAAACCAAGCTAAGGTAAGAGTATAAAAACCGTAGATCATATCAAATTTCCTTGCTGCAGTTTATACTCCTTGTTCTATAACTCTCGAGAAATCCTCCTCCCCCCCTTCAAAAATTGCCTCTTCTAGGTACTCTTAATGATGAGTCACATCTTTATGGTATTCTATCCCGTTTTATACTTCATTCATCAAAATCTGTCGCTTAGGAGAGCTAAAAATTCACCGATTTATATGCAGGTGTCCCGTAAGTAGAGGGGAATATTTATATGAGCGATTGAAGACTTCAAGAGCTATAAAAAAGATTATATGAAAATCTGATTTCTTTTAGCCAGAAAATTATGAATCTTTTACTCTGATTTTTTTCAAGTGTCACGTTTTGTGTTGAACAGGAATCGGTAACTAAAATAATATTTAAATTTAAGTAATGCACAGTTTCTTCGCTGTGAACTAGAAAAAAAAAACCCTTTAAAATACATTAAATTTGTCATTGTTAAAACCATTTAAATAGGACTTTTCAGCGGATAAACTAAACTAAAGCTTTTAGAAAAAACGTTTTAATAATCCATACTAGCATAACAATTTACATGAGATTTATTTTAGATTCACCTTTATTAGTATGAAAATTATATGATTTGATATTCGGTCAATCTAGAGTAACTTTATTTTCAGAAAAAAAAAAAAATCGAGAAATCATTATAAAATTCTAATTCCTTATTTTTCTTGTTACCTAACATCTATTTCAGTAAATTAATTATGAAAATATAATTTTTATTCATTTGAAAAATATGTTAAAAAAAATACTGCCTTTTAAAAAAAAATATTATCTAAGGTAATAATGAAAGAAAAACATCACGAATAATCCACGCTTTAATGAAAAACAAAACTTAGCGTAGTTTTGTCGCTCAAAAGACACTTTAAAATTCTTTTGACAAAGACAAACTCTACTTGTATTTGAAGGAAATTCCAATAAGTTAAGATTTATCAGAGATGAAAGTTAAGATTCACCTTAAATTTGGTAAAAAAAAAAAAAAATGGTGCGATTTTATATCATGTCGCCTAACATCACCCGTGTTTTCAGCAAAAATGACAACAATAAATTATTGAAAAACTTCTACTTTTTTGTTTTTACGTGATCTGAGATGTATTATAATAAACACCATTGATTGATTTTTTATTAATAACGAAAAATTGTAAAAAATAATGATATGTGAAATATTTTTAAATTAACGTGGTGATGAAACTGTTTTCAGCCAGATCTCTATCCAGCAATTGATCCGTATTTATAAGTGGTCAACTAAATGTTCTTAGTTCCAATATTTACATTTCAGGAAAATAATTAAAGCAATAAATTAAATATTTATTTAATTATTTAAAATAATTTGAATTTCCTATTTTTCTACCGAAAATCGGACCATTGTTATATTAACTTTTTTGTAGCTCTTGAGTTCTGCTATGAGTCGTATTTAAATATTTCCGTCAACTTACGGGACAGACTATATAGTGTATATCATAGGAAATAATTTTCAATCAATCATTCGCGTAATATTTTTATGGACCCATAAATTTCGTAGATTAGGAAATAAATAATTACATTAAAAATTGCCATTTCTCCTTCATACTATCACCTTTCATACGAACGGTATTAGAAGGATGGTATACCCGAGACCATCCGAAGGAACATCAGGATACCCCATTGATTCGGAAGACGCTTGACCCTGATTGGCAGAACAGTGGACTAGGTGATTTGCGGCGCTGTAGGACACGCGGACTTAAGCAGTACATTGTGACGATCTAGTGGCGTAAATTAAGATTGATGGAATTATTGTCAACAAGGGCTGGCTAACAAGCTACTAGATATATCCTCCTAATAGATATAGGGCCATTGTTAGGTAGCTCTAGTGATCCAACCGCTTCCTGATATTCTGACATTGTCCTTTCCGTGGATCTCTTAAGTGGAAATACCTCTTCACTACGTGATAACAACCCTCTCTCAAATATCTGATGGTGTTATATTTAATTTTAAAATTGTTAAATATTATAGTTATTTATTTAATTGAACCTAAACAAGGTGTATACGATTCTCATTTGAGCACAACTTTCTTTGGAAAATATTTCTCTTTCTGATTGTAAGTATGGATGATATCTATCATGATAAATGTACTACAATGTCTAATATATTACATAGGATAAATTTTAGTATTCCAATTATTATAGTATTAAACACAAAATATATAATATATTTTTTTTATAGCCTCTTGACTTATTTGATTTCCGCCATTTATTGGTCTTATAAGTAAGACATATTAGTTTTCTAGGCGACAGCTGTGATCGTTTGGTTCTTTTATATAGATATCCAGGGATAGCGTGGTTTATAATAACAGGACGCGATCACAAATCATTCTCTCTTCATCAGGATGGGTGGCAATTAGTGTTGCCCAAAATCGGTCTTGGTCTTACAAAGTGCCGCCTAACTGTTGCAAGACCAAGACCAGGACTGGTAAAAAAAAATCGATTTTTTAAGTAAAAGTTAAGGCAAAATCGTTACTAATACTTGACAATCTTAGTTACTATATGTTAATAATTGGTGAAACCAATATACTTTTGCATTTAACTCCTCTAAATTTTCATTCGGGCTTACTTAGGTTTCTCCTATCTAAAAATTACAGGAATATCTCTGTAGTAATAAGCTAATAAGTAACTACAAGACTGTTACAAGACTCTTGCGCAAGACCAAGACTGAGTTTCCAAGACCAAGACTCGTCTCAGTCTAGCATTTGGGCAACACTATTGGCAATCTTTTCCAGATATTTCCATCCTTTTGTTTGTTACGGGATAGGGCTAATGGTCCTCTGCACAAAACCCAATCTGGAGAACCAAGAACTATGTTGTAAGACACCGGACTCGCGCTCACCTTCCTGTGAATCTCAGGGTGGGGACGTTACCGTCTCCATGCGGGGATCGAACCCGCGGCGTAGTGCTCAACTAAGCAACTGAGTAGGGACTTCACTTATTTACCTTTTTTTTCTAATCCCTCTAACAGGATTTAAACTCTCATAGCATAATATTTTTGCAGGCACCTTAACTAACTCGACTTAATGCAGGGCGGTCCCCCTATGCCAAGTGGTATAATAAAAGGCCTCTGGCCACAGATGCAAAGTACGCATACAATGTGCATAGCTCTTAAACTTTAAAATGCCCTTGGGCAATAAAAGGAAATTAAAAATTTCTGTATATATATATATATATATATATATATATATATATATATATATATATATATATATATATATATATATTTCTTTATGCATTTATATATAGTATTTTTTATAGTTAATAAATTCCTGGAGAGAAGGAAAAAAAAAAACACTCGTCTACCGCCGGCCACACACAAAATATAAATATATGAGATTAAAAAATTTTGATTGTTATCCTTTCACGTTGATCAATATTCCTTCTAAACTACCTTCACGATCTTTAGTTTACATTTTAATTTAATATTTTTTTAAATTTTTGTAATAGAAGAAAGGCTCTGGATTGCGGTATATATTATTTTTTAGTATAAGTATTAAAAGTAGAAAAATAATTTAAAGCTTATTTATTTATAGTTCACATGTGAAGACTAGTACAATGTAATCATGAGGGAGCAAACATATCGTTTCATGTTCTTGAAGCCATCATCTCCCATCGCACCGCTGAGCCATTCGCGGTCCTGAATTAAACGCATCGGATTCCGATAGAGGCTAAAGTCAGGAGCACGTTTCCAATAATAATGGAACAGCCAAGATGGAGGAACAGCGGGCAGCCAATTTTAATACCCGGTCGGCAGTAATAGCCTCATCTCCCGGCCGAGATCTGAGTCACGGCTCCCGGGCGGTACACATCTCTTATCGTACATCGCTGTTCGGGGTTCGCCAATGTCAGGAAGTTGGAGAGTGGCCTCTCCTCCGGAGTCCAGGATGATGTATTGGTTCTCGACAACCTCTGGAAAGCGGTGAGGATTTCATGCTTGGATAAATCGGAGACAATCCATTTCTACAAATTAAACTACTATATGTTTATTCTGGAATTTTCCCTTAATATTATAACGAGTTATCTGAATAGTAAATATGTTTATGCTCATTTCGTTTGGATACATTTCTCTCCATCGTCATATGCTAAACTTGTATATCCAATTACAGTTAAGCATGTCAAAATATTATGTATGTGAATAACTTTCCTCTATTTTTTATCTACAAAATTTTAGTTTACCTACGTGCAATACTGTTCCTAAAAAAATACTGTTGTCCTTAAACAACTCCTAAGACTCCGTGATTGTATTCTTCTAAAAACCAGACATCTCCTTGCCACCTCCCATATATTTTCTCACTTCGACTATAGCTGTTTGATGTATGAAGGGCTATCTGCCAGGCTGGAAATGAGACTGAAGAAACTCATGAACTGTTTCATAAGACACATCTTTGGGATCCCCAGGCGTTCTCATGGTTCCTTCTGATCCACGGAGATGAAGTGGCTTTATCTTACTTCCCGACGACAATTCCTCCTTGGTGATTTCCTTTTCCAAGTCCGCAGAACCAAAAATCCTCCCTACATTCTAGAACTACTTACTCTAGGTTCTTCTATCCACTCTCTCAATATCACGTCTCAACATATTGGTTTATATATCCCCTTACATAAAACTACTTCCTTTAGCAAATCCTTCGTCATTCGCGATACCTCCTTGTGGAACTCTCTACCTGCATTCATACGTCAATCCTCGACCACGAATTCCCTTTCACAACCTTGGAGCAAAAAGAGTCTGAAACCTGAGAGGACTTTACGAAAATTATCAGGACATTAATTGTTAAAATAGTCCAATATTAACTTTTGAAACTAATAATTAATGGAATAACACTGATCCTTATAATAATTAATATATACCGTATTAAGATCTATTCTGTGTTGTTCACTGAATTTAAATGTTTTAACCATGGTCATTTTTCGCTCCAAGGTATAACAAACCTATTCAGCAAGCTTATTGCTTAAATAAGCTATCTATCCCCCGATTCCCTCAGTCGAACCCTACAGACAGTTATGTTAATTAAATTTTGCCATCTGCGGACTATTTAACTCGAGAACGATGAGAAAAATAAATTATAGGTGGAACATATGATATTGTGACACACATGTTGGACCTGTTGACATTAACCAACATCTGCCAACTATTTTAATGACAGCCTATTATTGGCAATGCGAAAACAAGAGGACTGTCATTTTCTCGGAGTCCTCGCCACAATTGAGCAATACGACATTACCTACAATAGGTGGCTGCAAGGTCGGTATCGTTTCAATGGAATGAAGTAAGCATCGAAATATTGCTGGGCTCTATTTTTTCCTCAATAGAATGATCCGATATGTTCTCAAGGAGAGTTACTTTCGGCGTTCTCAAAATTACTTAAAACAAATCTTATCCAGTGCAGCACAAACACGGACAGAATAATATAATATAGAGATAAAATACCAAATATAATTAGGTTTACAAAAAAAAAAAATATGAATATTCTTAGTCATCACTCAACTATTATACAAACGATGTTTTGACCGAATCCCTGGACTGATGGTTTTTAAGTTCAAAAGCTCAAATTATTGTACCGTGAGTGTTTTGAAACAATTTAGATTAAAACCAAGAAATTATTGTATAAAATGTGTTTTAATCGATTTGCTAAAAGACATGTAACAATTTTCTTAACGAAATTCAGGAGCAATTTTTATATTTGATGGCTCAAAATACTAACAAATTATATACATTTTTTCTGAAGCTAATACGTTAAAAAAATGTTACGACATACTGAGCTATCGTCTCGACCGTTGTTTAAGTTGGTTGAAATTGCTCACTGAGATCACGTGATTTTTTTTTTTAAAGGGGTTTAGGTTATATTATTTTTTATTGATTATTATTTAGTCATTATTTTAAATTTGTTCATTCTATGTTTTCCGTATATATGGTGTGAATGTGTTCATATATCACTATAATTATTGTCTACGTGGCAGATTATTATATTTCTAAATAAATAAAAAATAATAATAATAAAAATAGGGCTCAAAATAAATTATTCTTAATTTATTGTTGGTTCATATCATACCTTGTGTAAGTGTGTTTGCATATCTACTTCAAAAATTCGATAGATTGTTTGGGAAATGAATGTCTACGTAAATTTAAAATTGGTGCTGTATTTCAGTGCATTTCAGTACACACTACAACTTCTGGCAAGTAATTTTTGTCCCTTGTACCCATTCATGTAAAAACTAGAGAGAGTTTTGAGTTTCTTTCTTTTGCAATTAATTAGAAGCTTAGAGCGTTTTTCTAGTGGGCTGTCGTTTTTTCAGAGAGCTCAACCTAGTTATGTATCGGATTTGTTCATCGGAGATAAGTGGGATATTTTTAAAGGATACTGTAGGATCGGAAGTCATTGTTTACGACGAAGTATAATTTAAGGTAATTTGATGGAATTTATTGATAGATCCAATAAGGCCTATTTGGACATATGGAATTGAACTTTTGGGCTCCACTCAAACCATCGAATTCCTCGCGTATTCAATCAAAAATCCTTAGTTGAACCCTCAATGCTCCTTACTTTGTAATAAATAAAATCATCCATAAGGGCCTTAATAGTTCGTAAATAGTTTTATCTCATCGTAACCTACAGCTATTTTATTTACGAAAACTCTTGGAATTGGTGCGTTTTCAATCTGGAGTGGGGCAAACTTTGTCTATTTAATTAAGCACTAAAATATCGTAAATACCACATTTGTTTTCTA